TATAAATAAATTTTAACTTATTAAAACAAAATTAAAAAACATAATCAAATCAAATGTTTTCACATTACTATTATTATTTCTATTATATTAAAAAGTAATTTTACAAAAGAAAGAAGGATGTATGAACATGCATGGACATATTTCATATATAATTATACATGTTTCTAAATATTCATGCGTGTTTATGTATGTTTATACATATTTATACATATTCATGTATGAACAATTTTTTACCGGGAATGAATGTACTGGTGGTAATGTACGGGCGATTTCGACAATAACAGGAAAAAGACTGACATGGCCTCTCTCATGTTTCTCTCTGATTGCCAGTTTGGAATGTCTGAATACACGTGCACAGCACGTGCGCGTAGCGCGCGTCCTCTAGCGAATATCTGTCAGATTTACAAACAATAGATTTATCAGCTGATTTAGCCAGAAGCATAACCAAATATAACAAGAAGCGTGATAACTGGAAGAAGGTTTAAGAAATAAGTTTTCTTATAGGAGTACCATTACAGTTCTGTTATTTCTAAATTTTACATTGCGAACAATGTTCCTTCGTCGTATCACTATCAAACGATAAGGAATATGTATGAACAAGCTGCGAGTAACTGGGCTATCGGCTTGTACTCTTTGCTCGATCCAACCAAATTTTTGCCTTTTCTCCCGAATTTATGGAATAAACAAGCAATCGGCTCGCGTTACCCAAATGACACGAAGGTACGGGACATCGATGTGCTGGTTGGATATCTTATCCTATTCTGGACGATATTGTATTTGGTATACGAAAAGTGTCTTAACGTGAGTCCAATTTAAAAATAACATAAAACTTTGATTATCGTGCATATATTTCTTCTAAAACAGGTCTGTTCAACACTTTGCTTACAAGCTAAGGTATCACTGGACAGAGTTTTAACGTTTATTTTTTTTCTATCCAAGAAAGTTTCATTCATCCAGGAAATTTTGTTTGTGCTCAACAACATGATGGAGAGGTGGAAGCATTTAGCGAGCAGTGCTGGACAGACTAAATATTTAATTAAATAAATATATATATAAACACACACACACACACACACACACACACACACACACACGCACGCACGCACGCACGC